ATAAGCCACCACGTCTGCTCAGAAATACACCCTATTTTTCTGCAAGATAAATACATAATTCTGCAAAATAAACACACAAATAGAGTTCAAATTGTATTGGGTTTGCGTGGCCAGGTTTGGTAGCAGGGGGGCTACAGGGGTGGCTTCTGAGAGAAGCTGCCAGAAGCTTCCCCCATGTCCGACGGAGTCAATGCCAGCGGCTCCAAGATGGACCCACCACGGCCAAGGCTGAGCCCATCGGTGGTGGTGGCAGCACCTCTGGGATAGGGTATTGAAGAAGGGGAAAAAGTTCCTGTGCAATGGCAACTTCACCGGGAGAGAGGAGTGAGAGTGAGAGACACGGCCCTGTGGACACCCGGGTCAGTGAAGGAGGGCAGGGGGTGCTCCAGGCCCGGAGCAGAGATTCCCCGGCAGCCCGTGGGGACGCAGCTGTGCCCTGTGCCCAGGGAGGTCACTGGGGAGCAGAATCCACCTGCACTTGGGGAGGGCCCCACGCCAGAGCAAGGGGATGCCCAAGGAGGCTGTGACCTGTGGGAAGCCCACGCTGGAGCAGTCTGGGAAGAGCTGCAGCCCAATGGGAAGGGCTCAGGTGGAAGAAGTCCATGGAGGACTGTCTGCTGCGGGAGGGACCCACGCTGGAGCAGGGGAGGGGTGTGAGGAGTCCTCCCCCAAGGAGGGAGGAACAAAGGGTGATGGACTGACAGCAGCCCCCATTCCTTGTTCCCTGTGCTGCTGTGGGGAAGGAGAGAAGTGGGGAGCAAAGCTAAGCCCAGGAAGAACAGGTTTACTTTTGCCTCAGGGAGTGCCATCGCTCTTCCATTTTCAACATTTCTAGCCCTTGTGGGATGGAAGTTAGGGACTGACCCAAAGACAGGACTAGTGTCAATTTTACTGCATAACCACTGTGAATAAAAGTGACACGAGGTGTTTCCATCCCCTACACAGACTGCTGCAACATACCATGAGCATGGCCCCACACTGCCATGGCAATGCCCTGCTGGCGGCTCCCGCTGTCAGAGAGCTTTCCTGGAGCTGTCGTGAAGACAGTACAGGCAGACAAAGCATCAGCCAGAAATTACTGGCAACCTGTCTTCTGTTAGTCTTACAAGAAAAGTATCTCTGTGCAACGTCAAAGTTAAGGCACAGTGGGGACGGAGACATTAGCCGTGATCACTGGAACAGACAGACCGTCCCTTGGAATGGGAGTAGGATCATTCCAGGTGGCTCACTGCGCTAGGAACAGAATTGTTAGTTATGCTGATTAATATTAATGAACCACCAGGATAAAATGATTTGCACCTGTGAGTTGTGTGGGATTCAGGTATGGTATTGGCCCACAATCGATTGTAGCTGGTGGCCTGGTGCTTACACCCCACTGGGGGCAGAGCCCTCCTTCGGGGGCTCCGGGGGCCATGGCGGCGCTGGAGGCCGATACAGTCAGAGTGTTTCTGCGGACACAGCTCCCGCACAGGGGAAGCTGAGGCGTTGCTGTGGGAGTGCCGCCGACACCCACTGGTCCAGCTCCAGTTGTTGCAGAAGCAGCGAGTCGTTATTACACACACACGGTGCCACAGCCCGGGCGGGCAGAGGGGGCGGTGAGTCCGGGCAGCGCAGGCGTGCCGGGCCGCGGTGCTGAGGCCTGACAAACTCGCTGCACCAATTGCGGCTGGGACTGCCACGGCAGAGCTGTGTCACAGGGATACACCCCAACCCACAACATCCTTCCCTTCCCCTGGCAGTCTGTCTGGGATGGACAAACCGCCTCGGTTTGCTTTGCTTTTGCAACTCACAGTCCATCCAGCTCTTGGGTTCGATCCTTTCGCTACCCCGTTCTGGTGCTGATGAATTTGATGGTGTCTCCTGTGCTCCCAGACTGGCTACTGAGCAGAGGCAATGAGCATTTGTTAAGGGAGAAGTGAACGTCTGGTGTGTGATACAATGAAGGGAGAAAGCAAAAAGGAGAGAAGAGAGGAGAAGTACAGCTGCATGGCTGGATTTCTTTTATGTGTTAGTGCTGGGTTTTAGGAAAGTGGAATCAGAAAAACACCTTAATTTAAGTTTTATTCAATGTCAACCTTCTCATTATCAAAGAACTGTAACAATGCTGGTGGGTTATTTAAGTAAACCACAAAATGCCCACAAAATCTACTTTGCAGAGCTAATAGGAAATCTGGTGGTTCCAAGAGGTTGCTTAAGAAAAATATAAGGCCAGACTGTAATAGTGTTTCAAGTACTGTTTGCTCCAGGAATGTTGCCTTATTTGTTTCCACAGGCTTCTCTCAGACATGTGTCCATCCTTGGAGATTTTGCAGAACTTTCCTGGAAAAAAAAACCAAACGACAAATGCCTGTGGGCACCCTCAGCACCCATCCCCCCCAGAGCCCTCTTCACCAGGCGCAGCGCTCGGTAAGGAGCAGTGTCTGGGCAGGGGCGCCGGGAGGAACTGGGAGGAGGCACAGCCCTTTCACTGGAGGTACCTGGAAGGGAGGGAGGGAGGAAACCACAAAGATTTGTTTGCCATGAGAGTCTTCCCACCAAGGCCTCCCTCCTGGGTCCCCCTGTCCTGCTGGGTGTCACTGGGTGCTACTGCCTCATCACCCCCTTCCGATGAGCCCTCACCATCAGCCGAGGGTCTGAACCGCTAATTCCCTACTAATGAAAACAGGCTGGTCCTTGAGTTTGATTTTACTATTGAAGTGCCAACCCCTTCCAGACCAACACAACATCAGCTGGCCAGTGGATAAACTCATTTGTATAATGCAAGAGGGATACTTCCAGGAGGTATGGAAGCCCTTGAGAGTTGTTACACAAGGCTTAAATTCATTATTAACAATGTAGAAGTACTAATTGTGGAACTGTAATGTAGAATTTGGTAATTGCTTACTATACAAACACTTTAACAATTTAAACAATGCATCTAATTCCTGGCTTTTGACAGAAAGCAGGCTTGAAATAAATCCAGGGCTGGTAAAGTGAGTGGTTCAGCATCCTCACAGAGTGTTTGCAGATGAAATTACAAGCCAAGACTAAGTGGATCCATCAGCTGGTTGTCACTAAAGGGGGAAATCTTGCTCACCCTCCTCTTCCTCATCCCGCTCCCCCTTCTGGATGTGCTGCATTTCTTCTGTACAAAGGGCTGAAGGAGACACCAGGAGGCATTTCTTGGTACCATTTTCTGTCCTTAGTGGGAGTTTGACTTCAAAATTAATCCAAGAATGACCAAAGTTTTTTACGAACTGCATGGAAGCAATGTTGAAGATTATGGAGTAGCAGTGTCGGAGTTGGCCATTGCACTGGTTTTGACTGGGACAGAGTTCAGTCTCTTGACAGGAGCCTGTGTGGGGCTGGGCTCGGGATCAGTGCTGAAACACTGTCAGTGTCCCAGGGCTGTGCAAGTCACTGCTGAGGACCAGGGGCTGCTCTGCCCCGACAGTGGGGGCCGGGGGGCACGAGGGGCGGGGAGGGGGCCCAGCCGGGACACTGACCCCAACTGACCCCAGCGGCATCCCAGGCCGTAGGACGTCGTGCTCAGCAATAACACGGGGCAGGGAGGAGGAAGGGGGGGACGTTGGGAGTGACGGAGTTTGTCTGCCTGTCACCGCCACACGTGATGGATCCCCGCTGCCCTGGGGATGGCTGAGCACACGCCTGTGATGGGCAGCGGGGAGTCGATTCCTGACTTTGCTTTGCCTGCCTGCGCAACTTTCGCTTTAATTGGAAAGGAGGGCTGGTATTTCATGTGTGAGCTCTTTTGCACATTTTGGTGTTTCTCATGCTTGGAGATAAAAAACAGAATTGACAAAAATCTCCTCTGGCTTTCTGCTGGAAACAGGTTTGGTGAACTGCCATGGTAAATACACTTTAAAAAACTAATCTAAAATCAGATAGAGTTAATAAAATCTCTAGAAATGCTTTTCCAGTCACATGAGCAAGGTAAAAAATTATTTCTTTTTTTTTTCTTCTTCTGTTTTTTGAGAAAGAAAATGAATTCACTGCTGTTGTTTCAGAGTCAGAGCTCTTGAAATGCAGCTCTCGGATGTGACAAGCAATACAATCCCATCCTGGACTGAGCCATGGGTTCAACATGACTGTCTCAGAAACTGAGAGATATTTGGTGGTCATACGTGGAGCAGATTTTTGGTTCTGCTGATTGAGAACATCTTATCCATGAGCATCTGTAGTTTTCCAGAAGGTAAAAAGCTTTTCTGGCAGCAGGTCATTTTGCTGTGTGGTTTGAAATCGGAGAGGGGAACGATGAGAGAGAAAGCTAAATGGAGACAATAGTACTTATTTCTTCACTGTATATGAGATCTTTCCATTGGAAAGAATAAAGATAAAAACCCCACTTGAATATAAAAAAAATGCCTTCTGGAAACATTAGCTGTGCACTGCTCTATTTAGGTTCCTCCACAAAGGGGAGAATTTGAGTGAAGTTGCCCCAAATGGGTGAAATGTTTTAAAGAGAACATAAGGAGTAAGAAAACTTGCAAAGAGTGGGGGAAAAAATATTATCTACCAAAGGCAACTACATCTTGGAGACAGTGAAAATCTTGGAGAAAGCCAAGATTTCCAGAACAAAGGCAAAAAGAGGCCTTTGGAAAGCAGGTAGAATACCAGACAAAAGGTGGATCAGCACCCCAGAGGAGAGTCAAGAGGCTGCTCTGGGTCATGCTTGGGGTGAGGGCTGAGGGAACAGCACTCACACCGAGCGGCCAGTTCACCCCAGGGTGTGGCGAGGCCGCGGAACACCCTTGCAGGCAGACGACGGGGCAAGGCAACAAGTTTACAGAGACTGTGGAAATGGATGAGGGTGAGAAGCAGCTCAGACCACTACGTTTCCTACACGAGGAAGGCAGGTCCTCATCCAGGGTGCTTGCTGTGACAGACCAGAAGTCAGGATTTTAATAACTGCCAACTTGGAATGGCTGTCTCTT